CACTGTGCATGGTCCTGGAAACTTAAAGATGATTGAAGACTGTCTCTGACTTTTGGGAACTTACAACCCAGTAGGATAATTCAAATAGTGCTTTTTTTAAAATTACATAAATTTTTAAAATATATTTTATATTATTAAAATATTTAATATATTAATATAAATATATTAACTATTAAATATATAATATATTGGATATTAAATATTATATTAAATACATTATATATTAACTATATAAATATATAAAATATAAATATAAATTTATATTATTTAAATAAATTTTAAATATATTGTTTACATTTTATTTCCAGTCCTTAGCTCCATGCATAACCTGTGAAATTAACATTTATAGAACACTCTACCCCACAATAGCAGGATAAACATTCTTTTTAAAGTGTACCCATGACATCTACTGAGGCATATTTACTAAGGTAGTCCATATTCCAGATTGTAAAACAAAGTCTCAATAAAGGTAAAAAGATTCAAACCATATAAGAATTTATATCTGATCACAGAGGAAACAAACTAGAAATCAAGGAATTCCATGGTGGTTCAGTGGTTAGGACTCCATGCTTTCACTACTGAGGGCCTAGATTTGATTCCTGGTTGGGGAACTAAGATCCCACAGATTGCACAAAAAAACAAAAAATTAAACAAAACAGAAACACCTCTGGAAAACCCTCCAGTGTATGGAAATCCTGAATAATACATTTCTATATAACCCATGGGACAAAGAAGAATTCCAAAGGGAAATTAGATAACGTTTTCTATTTTAGTTCATAAACTTAAATGTTTAAAAAATACAAAATCACATTTTGGAAAATCAGAGCTCTCTTTGTGGGAAGATTTTTAACTAAAAATTCCTTTTTTTTTATAAATAGACAGGTATTCAAGTCATCTGTTTATTCTTGAGTGAAACTTGCTAGTTTGGGTTTCAAGGAATTTTTCCATTTTACGTAATTTATTAAATGAGTAACACTGTCCTACTATTCCCTTAGTGAAAATGACATAAATATTTATCAAGGTGCATACTCCAGGACAGAGGAAGGCACAGCTTATTTTTGTGGGCTACCCAGAAGGGTCAAAAAAAAAAAATCTTCCTTTCTTTTAAATTACATTAAAGTATAATTTCCAACTGTTTTTGCAGCACAGAAAATATAAAATAACAAGAAGGTACGAGTCTGTAATTGTCTTTGGGCTCCAGTTCAATTTAAGCCATGTCCTCTAAACCAGTTTCTTGCATTAGTTTTCTTTAACTGACCAAGAATTTGTGACCATTCTTTGCAAGTTCTCCCAAAGCTCTGATCTGCTCATCGGGGGCGGTCTAAAATGATTTGTCTGTGAATAGCATTTTAAAGTAAACATGTAAATCTCATGCAGTGGCACCACACTTAGTTTTTGCTTTTCTCTTATGGAAGATAAGTCTTAAAGAAGAGCCTAGTAGCTCAGCATGAATTTCATGACCTGCATTTCTTAGTAGCTGCTTCGCCTTTAGCATCTTTCTGCTTGATGAGTTGATAAAAGCTTGTCCTAGTTTCTTGAACCTGTTTTGTAGCAATAATTCAGACTGTGTTTTTTTCTTTCTATTGTTTCCTTGAGGTTTAAAACTATTTGGTACGTTTATGTTTGCTTTTCTGTGGTTTTCAGTTCCAAGGAGGATTTTCTTCCCTATCCATCTCTCCACAGATCTTCTGCAGAGCCAGAGATGTCTGTTCATTTTTGCTTTATAATTAGAAATTATAATCTGATAAATTGATGTCTCAACATATCCTCTCTCATGGGCATTTTTTCTATTGAGTTCAATGTTTCCATTCTTTACACGGCAGTACTGACTGTCACATCTCAAGTCCTCTCTATGTTTAGATCAATTTCATATCATTTGCTTATATTCAGGATTGTAGAGTTGATTTCTGATTTATTGGTTTACCTTGATGATTATTTGTATGGGTAAAAATTTCAGAAGTATATGATGATAATTGAAGAACCTGAAAAGCCCATCTAATTGAAGGCTGAGGTGTTTCTCTTTTTTTTTTTTTTTTTAACATTCAACGGGTTCACAGAAATACACTTGACTTTAACAATTCTTGTGTATTTCTCCTTTCCTTAAGATCTGATGTTGTAAAGGTTTCACTAGAAAACTTCCTTTGCCACTGATGGGTTGCCAAAACATTTTCACGTAATATATGGCAAAAAAAGAAATCTAAAACGAATGGCTGCTTCTGGGGAAAAACAAACTCTCTATGAAAGGTCATCACCTCTGTTTAAAAACATTTTAAAGATTTTCAAGCCACTCAGTTATTGTCTGTTTTCAGGTTACAATGTATGCCTATTATAGATAATTTTAAGGATAAAGAAGAGTATAAAGAGGAAAAATGTAAGCAGTACTTCCACCACCATTTAGAGCCTACCTGCTATTTCTGTGCAACCTCAAAGTTTCTTGAAGGCTTAGCCTAGCGGACCACCTGCCCTTTTCTAAGTCTTCCGCCTCAATAGACTGTTTCAGACATTAAGAGTGGAAGACCGACTTTAAATATAAAGGCCCTTAGGATTTTTATGGAAGGGATGGAGCTGTAGGAAAAACCTACAAATTGCTCCAGAGATGACATCTTGTTCTTATTTAGCTTTCTTTGAGTCATTAACAGTCGGGCGCCACTGGTGCTGAAACTTATCATTATTATAACCGCAAATGGGTTAATGCCCAAACAAAGCTATATTCTTGGGGCTGGTTCCCAGCTCCACCGCACAGACCCCAAGAGCAGCACCCTCCAAATCCCAGGATAATTCCCCACAAATGAGGGGATGTCAAATGTTCAGACTGGACTCAAAATTCTCTTCTTTTATCTGGGAGCTCCCAGTTGCTGGCAGGGCAGAGCCAAAGGGAAAATAAATAAATAAACGTCAAGCCAACAAACCCTAAAAAAAGAGGCTATGTGGTTTAGCGGTCAGACCACTATCCTGGAGGCTGAGATCGCTGAGATCCAGTTCCAGCTCTCCCACTGACTGGCTGGATGACGCTAGACAAGTCATTTTCCTGACACGGTCCTCCGTTTCCCTACTTAGAAAAGGGGGCACTGCTTTAGAAAGTTTTTATGAGGACAAATGAAATGACCTGTGAATAGCTTCAGGTTGCTTGGAAATAAAATGAAGTTGCAATCCTTAGTAATTACCATCCTATTACTTAATTAATAATACAGTAAAAAGCCACAGGTGTTAAAGTTATGAAACTCCTATACCCTCAAGGTGCATGGGGTCAGGGGGCAGCGTGGGGCAGGGCGGTGGGAGGCACAGGTGGAGGAAGAAGGCAAAATTTTTTCAAATCAAATTTGCAGAACTTCACATCAAATACCAAATTAGCAAATTTATTACCTTGAGATAATAAATGCAGCCCTGAGTTTGGCTCTGTCCCTTTATCCTTACCACATCTAAACTCAGAGTGACTCACAGGAGCCTAGAAATGAGACATACACAATTTTAAGGGAGAGGGAGAATTAGGAGGTTTGACGCTTCTGCTGGAGGAGGCTAAGAATAGACCACTCAGAACACAAAGAGAGCCTCCTCTTTCCTCTTCTTCCCAGTGTAGGTGGTCTGCTGGTTTCCCAGTCATTCCTGTGAAAGAATGATTTTTGTTTTCTTTCTGTCCGCAAAACCTCACCTTGTGTGGGGGAGAGCTAACTAAAAATGTGAGGACAGAGTCGCTTTTTCTACTGCATTAGAACTATCACAAGGGCTGCACAATGCTAACGCCTTGTTGGGTGTGGAGAGGGGCTAAAAGACAAATACTGTATGTGAATATCTGGGAACTTGAAAACCAAGGAGTTCTCTACCTTCTTAAAGGAAAAGTGAGCAGCTAGGAATATGAGGGGGAAAAATCCAATAGGCGTCCTTGTTTGTGCATCCCATTCCCCCAAGATGTAGAGTGTCTTCATAGGAAAAAAAAAAGACATTTGGGAAGGATATCAAATAGTAAGAGACAGAGGTAGAAGGAGGGGCTATAAAGATAAAGAGGAGTTTGAGAGGAAATGCCCATGAAGTCATAGAGGATTTAATGAGCACCTTCTGGATGCCCAGTCTTGTCACAAGCAAAGACATCTCTGACTTCAAGGAGCAGTCAAGATATGGGCACGTGAGAGCACTTTGTAGTAATTTAAGATGGTAAATAATCAGATGAAAATAGAAAGAAAGTGAAGTCGCTCAGTCCTGTCAGACTCTTTGTGACCCCATGGACTACACCTACCAGGCTCCTCCGTCCATGGGATTTTCCAGGCAAGAGTACTGGAGTGGGTTGCCATTTCCTTCTCCAGGGGATCTTCCCGACCCAGGGATCAGACCCAAGGATCAGACCCGGTCTGCCGCGTTGCAAGCAGAGGCTTTACGGTCTGAGCCACCAGGGAAGCCACCAAAAAAAGAAAAATGATAATGGGATATTAAAGGTTTATGGGGATTTAGGGGTGGGAGCTACTATTGTGGGGCTTCCCTGATGGGTCAGTTGGTAAAGAATCTGCCTGCTATGTAGGACTCTGCCGGCAATGCAGGAGACTTGAGTTCAATCCCTGGGTCGGGAAGATCCCCTGGAGGAGAAAATGGCAACCCACTCCAGTCTTGCCTGGAGAATTCCATGGACAGAGAAGTCAGCTGGGCTACAGTCTATGCGAGTAGGACACAACGTAGCGACTAAACCATCAAGGCTACTATTATGGTGAAGTGAAGTCAAGTCGCTCAGTCGTGTCCAACTCTTTGTGGCCCCATGGACAGTAGCCTGCACCAGGCTCCTCCGTCCATGGGATTTTCTAGGCAAGAGTACAAGAGTGGGTTGCCATTTCCTTCTCCAACTATTATGATAACTGTTGTATAAAGCAGGAAGAGTTATGAAATTCAGAAATAGAGGGTATATGGAGGGTTGACAATAAGTTTTCCACACCGGGAAATAATATGGTTTCAAAGGAACTCTCCACCTCAAATTCGTCTAATAAACCATCGCCTCAAGAAAGGGAGTCCAAAGAAACTAAGACCGCTGCGAGGCGACTGCTCCCGGAACTGGTACGGCCAGCTTGGAGTTGCGATACGGAAACTGTTCGCGTGGCACCCCCTCCGCCTCCTGCCTCTCCCGCCGCGTGGGTGCCATGGCAACCGAGAGAGCCGGGAGACCTAGGTTCCGGAAGCCGAAGAGCTGGAGCTCTGAAGCCACCCTGATCAAAGGATGCTGAGTCCGGAGCGCCTAGCCCTACCGGACTACGAGTATTTGGGTAGGCGCTTCCTTCAGCTTTGGGGAAGGAAAGAAATGCAGACGCATTAGGCCAGAGTCTGGGGAGGAGGATGGGGAGGGATCTGAGTGTGAATGGGTGGGGTGCGCTAGGGTGGGGCGGGGAGGGGGCGCTGAATCAGGGGCCTGAAGGTGTAAGGCCCAGCGAGGAGGAAAACAACACCTGGGGAAGAAAGAATGCTGAAGTGTACCCGCTGGAGCTCAGGCAATGTGGATTGTGCTCACAGTGGGCTAGGTTGGAGTTGAGAATTGGCGGGGGTGGGGGGCTTTGGGGGTGTTACTGACTTGCTGCTGGTGGAGTAACCTTGGAATCTTGAAGTGCCACCTCAGTCATTCCGTGAGCCGTCAGATAACCGCCACGGCGGCAACTAACACTTTGGAGTTTTTCTTGTACGTTAGGCACTATGCTAAGCATTTTACATGCATTCTTTATTGAATCTTCGTAACAGCCCTAGGAGGAAACTTGTTTTCCTTCCATTTTGCAGACGGAGAAACTGAGGCTAAAGAGATAATTTACACAAAGCCGCACCGCTAGGAAATGGTATGGCCTGGATCAGAACATCATTTGCCCACTCCTGAGCTTGAGTTCTTGATCAGTAGGGCTGCGGCTGTAATACGTTATGCACACTTAACACCTTAAGTGTGGGTGAGAAAAAGATGTGTGTGTGTATATGCGTACGTGTAAGGACACATCTTTTAAAACGTTGTTTATTCGCTAAGTCGTGTCCAACTCTCTTGCAACCCCATGGACTGTAGCTGGCCAGGCTCCTCTGTCCATGGGGTTTCCCAGGCAAGAATACTGGAGTGGGTTGCCATTTCCTTGTCCAGGGGATCTTCCAGACCCAGAGATCGAACCCAGGTCTCCTCCATTGGCAGGTAGATTCTTTACCACTGAGCCATCAGGGAAGCCCTTTAAAACATTAATAGACTTTATTTTTAAAGAAATTTTAAGTTTACAGGAAATTAAGCAAATATTATAGTGTTCCCATGTACTCCTTGTCAGTTTCCTGTTATTAACATCTGACATCTATTAGTATAATACATTTGTTACAATTGATGGACCAATATTGATATGTTATTATTAACTAAGATCCACAGTTTTCCTTAGGGTTCACTCTGTGTCAGTACAGTTTTATGGGTTTCGACAAATGCATAGTGTCATATATCCCCTGTTATAGTATTGTGCAGAGTAGCTTCACCCACTGTCTATTCATCCTTTCCCCTGTCCCCCAACCATTGGCAACCACTGACCTTTTTACTCTCTCTAAAGTCTTACTTATTCAGAATGTCATACAGTGGAGTCGCAGAGTATATAACCTTTTCAGACTGGCTTTTTTCACTAAGCAATAATGCATTTTAGGTTCCTCCACATCTTTTCCAGGCTTGATAGCTCATTTCTTTTTATAACTGAATAATATTCAATTATATGGATATATCGATACTGTACACATTTTTTTTTAATGAAAAACAATTCCAGTTTAAATTTCTGAATTTGTCATATGGAAACTAGATTAAAAAATATAAGAAGTTTATAAGGAAAAGTCTCTTCCAGCCCTTTTCCCCTCATCTGCCAGTTTCCATCTGTCCTCAGCCCACTACTAGTAACTACTGTGACTGGTTTCCTGTGTGACCTTCCAGAGTTTAGTTTATTATGTATATAAGAGATAATGTATTTTTTTCTTTCTATATATCTCAGAGTGATTTCTGTATCAGTGAGAGCTTTCTCATTCTTCTCAGAACTTGTTTAGCTGCATAGTATTGAAATAATTTATTTGACTAGTTCTCGGTTGGTACAGATGTTGTTTTTAGCCTTTTGCTATTATTGAAAATGTGTGTGTTAGTTGCTCAGTCATGTCCAACTCTTTGCAACCCTGTGGATTGTAGCTGGCCAGGCGCCTCTGTCCATGGGATTCTCCAGGCAAAAATACTAGAGTGGTAGCCAGGAGATCTTCCCGACTCAAGGATCAAACCCAGGTCTCCCGCATTGCAGGCAGATTCTTTACTGTCTGAGCCACCAGAGAAAGCCATTACTGAAAATGCCCCCACTGAATAACCTGTAATTTTGTGCCATTACTAGTAAATCTGCAAAGAAAACCACAAAGTAAAATTGGTGGATCAGAGATATATGCTTTTTAAATATTGATAGACATTGCTAAATCATATTTCACAGGGATTGGACCATTTTACACTGCTGTTAGCAGTGTAGGAGAATGTCTGTTTCCCTATGGTCTTTCCAACAAAATATATCCAACTCAAACCATCAGGTATTATCAACTGGTTAGTGACAGTCCCAGGGTAGATTTGATATGCATTTCTCTTATGAAGTTAGGACTCTTTTCACCAAGGTTAAGGGGTATATGTGGTTTTTGAAAGGAATATATATACCTAATTCTCCTAATTGGAGAAGGAAATGGTAACACACTCCAATGTTCTTGCCTGGAAAATTCCACGGACAGAGGAGCCTGGTGGGCTATGGCATGGGATCTCAAAGAGTCGGACACAACTGAGCAATTTCACTCACTCATATATACCTAAAGAGCATGGTTAAATCACAGATAATTTTGCAGCCAATGAATAATAATATTAATGTCTAGCAATGCCTAGACTCTTTCTAAAAATTTTATGTTTTTTATCTTATTTACTCAGTACTAATGAGTCTATGAGAAGGAAATGGCAACCCACTCCAGTATTCTTGCCTGGAAAATCCCATGGAGGAAGAGCCTGGTAGGCTACAGTCCATGGGGTCGCAAAGAGTCAGACACGAGTGAGCGACTTTTCACCAATGAGTCTATGAAATATTTGAAAAGCCTAGTCCGGTGTTCAGTTCCTTGGATGTTTGCCTCAAGGGCTTGACATAGTTAATATTACTGGTTCTTTGGTAAGTAGGAGCTGATGGTCCTTCCATAAGTGGCTTTTTTTTTTTTCAGGGAGACTAAGCCAATGGCATTGTTGATAATGAATCTATAAACAGAATCAAAGTTTCAGTTTGGCCGAAAAAACTTCAGCATCCAACCACTTACCTAATTATTGAACCCTGGATTACTGAAGCTCTTTCAGTTTCTGTTGCATGTTTAAGTGTCCATGTCCCAGTCCCGGTCTGGACGTTCATACTGCCCTAAGCAGGGTCATACTACTCACTGCCTTACTCATGGTTGCTCAAACCATACAACTCTGCTGAAATGCATTTGTCTTTAGTTGAGAGCAACCCTGCCCTTTCAGTTTGGTCTCTTTTAGAGGCATGCTGTTGCTGTTTTGAAGCATTCATCCTCCATTTAACAACCACTGAAAATTATCCCTTATAGATTAATTTAATGAAATAGTTTCTGGTTTGAAAATTTAAATACTTGTGGAGGTTTTGTTTGACTTGGTTTGGCTCTTCTCCTTTTCTTCTTCTTTTTTTTGTTTTTACAAATTATAAAGTCACGTGTGTAGAACTGGAGAAGAAAATGCATACAGAAAAAAGAAAATTGGGGAGATGGGAAAGCTCTAGGTATTCAGTGCATGGGAAAAGTGAAAGTTCAATATCCCTTGGTAAGTGTAAACGGAGACCTCTTTTTAGTATTATGTACAAATTACAGGGATACCTATTCAGTGAATATCTATAGATTTTCCTTTCTACGTGTTAGCCAGGGCTTCTATTTGCCTTTTTCACTACTAGCGAAGAAAAGAATCTTTCATCATGTTCGGTAAACTGATCCATTCCCTGCTGACTTGGTGGGTTCGGAACCTGTAATCATGGCCTGGAATGGCTTTAGTATCTTAAGATCATCATTACAGAATCAGCTCTGTGATGTTCATGCCTGCAGTCATCAGAATGGAGTGATAGAAACTGTGTTAATGCCCAGGCATAAATAGAGAGAGGAGAATCTGGAAAAGAGATGAAATAAATATAGAGCCCTTGAAAGAGTTCCAGCTTCATGAAAGCTACTTATTGGAAGCTTCTGCCAGAGGCTGAGGTGTGTCTGTGTATCTGGTTGGGTGTGGAGAGTTCTCTAGAGCCGAAGGGCGGCCTGTTCTGGTCCCAGGTTTGCAAAACACACTCCCTACGTGCTGACCTGAGTATAAGCAAGAGGGTGTGAAGTTTATTATCTTACCCCACCTAAACTGGGGAGGTGCTTGCTTTCACTCATGTTCCTATTTACCTCTTCTGTTTCTATGGAAAGTGCTTTTTCTCACTAAGGTTGGTAGTGGATCAGCGTGATAGGTAACTCCAGGAAATCAGAGGTGGGTCTTTCTCCTTTGCAGGCTGTACTTATAGAGGAATGATAATAAATTGGAGAGGTTGTTTTTTTTTTAAGTGTGGATCTTTTTTTTTTGGTCTTTTTTGAGTTTGTTACAACATTGCTTCTGTTTTATGTGTTGGTTTTTTGGCTGTGAGACATGTGGGATCTTGGCTCCTCAACTAGGGGTTGAACCCACAACCCCCACATTGGAAGGTGAAGTCCTAACCACTGGACTGTCAGGGAAGTCCCTGGATAGGTTTTTGGTTTTTTAATTGGAGGATAATTATTTACAATGTCTCATTGGTTTCTGCAGTACAGCTACCTGAATCAGCTATGCTGCTGCTGCTGCTAAGTCGCTTCAGTCGTGTCCGACTCTGTGCGACCCCATAGAGTGCAGCCCACCAGGCTCCCCCGTCCCTGGGATTCTCCAGGCAAAAACACTGGAGTGGGTTGCCATCAGCTATAAGTATACATATATCCCCTCCCTCTGGATCCTCCCGCCCACCCCCAACCCCCACAGTTATTTTGAAGCTATAGTTTTTGAACACTTCATTTATGCTTAACACTGTGCCTTAACTCGTTTAATCTTTACAACCGTCATACAAGGTATTTTTATTAGGCAAAAGAGAAAGGGAAGGATATACCCAACTGAATGCAAAGTTCCAGAGAAGAGCAAGGAGAGATAAGAAAACCTTCTTAAGTGAACAATGTGAAGAAATAGAGGAAAACAATAAAATGGGAAAGACTAGAAATCTCTTCA